CATTCAGATAGTCTGTTTTCTCTTCTTTAAACACAGCATCCTAGCTTTTATTTCTTCTTCTGTCATTTATTACTAGACTTTTTTTACCCATATTGTGATCTGCTGCTTGGAAATTTTAGCGAAAAAGGTGGTAATAGAAGTGAGTTAGCCTTACTTTACAGATAAATACAGTGTTTTAAAAGTATTGTAAGTTGAAGGAGAAAAAAGTGCAGAATTTTGTGGAAACCAAAAATGATTCTGTAGAAAAAGGCAAGGAAAACAACGTTATTGTACAGAGGAAAACAGAGGAGGAAAAACCTTTCAAAAATACGTTTCAGTCTAAAGTAATAGGTCATATTTATCAAGATAGGCAGGGGTTGATTTAAAAAATGGAAAGTAAATCAGTTTGATATACTCTAAAGTAGCATTTCAATCACAGCAACAACAAAAAACAACATTTAAATGATGGCTAACTATATTAATCTAAAAGTTTGGGAAATGCAAAGTTTTCTTTTAACCTAGTAGCTTGTCCAATGCTTCAAGTAATTCTTTCATTTAGCACTTATTGTTCAACTATTCATCCCTTTCCTGTTGTCATGACAAATAAAAATGACAAAGTACAAAAACCAAAAACAAAACCTTAGAACCCTACTGTTACACCGGGTGGCTTCAAAGGCATCACATACGAATTAGCCATTCAATTGGGATTAGATAGCTGAATCTGCAAAAGAGATCCAGATGATCAGAGGGTTGGAGCACCGCTCCTATGAAGAAAGGTTGAGGGAACTGGGCTGTTTTAGCATGGAGAAGAGAAGGCTCTGAGGAGACCTCAGTGTGGCCTGCCAATAATTGAAGGGAGCATATAAACAGGAGGGGGAATGGCTGTTTAAAAGGGTGGATTGTGGTAGGGCAAGGGAAATGGTTTTAAATTAAAGCAGGAGAGGTTTAGGTTAGATATTAGGAGGAAGTTTTTCACACAGAGGGTGGTGACACGCTGGAACAGGTTGCCCAAGGAGGTTGTGGATGCCCCATCCCTGGAGGCATTCAAGGCCAGACTGGATGTGGCTCTGGGCAGCCTGGTCTGGTGGTTGGTGACCCTGCACACAGAGGGGGGTTGAAACTAGGTGATCATTGTTCAACCCAGGCCATTCTATGATTCTATGATTATTATTGATAGAATCAAATTTGAGTTAGAAGAGACCTTTAAAGATCCGCTGGTCCACCTCCCCTACAGTGAACAGGGACACCTACAGCAAGGTCAAGTCTAGCCTGATCTTCCATGTCTCCAGGGATGGGGGCATCCATTATATCTCTGGGCAACCTTTTCCAGTGCTTCACTACGCTTACTGTAAAAAGCTTCTTCCTTATATCCAGTCTAAATCTCCCCTCTTTTAGTTTGAAACCATTTCCCTTTGTATTATCATAATAGATCTTACTAAAGAATCTGTCTCCTCCTTTCTCATAGACTCACTTTAGATACTGAAAGGCTCCTCTCAGGTCTCCCTGGAGCCTTCTTTCATCCAGGCTGAACAACCTTAGCTCTCTCAGATGGGAGGCATTCCATTCATTATTGTATCATGATTGTTATTATCATTATTACTACTGCTGTGTTTGCATCCAGTAATATTTTGACTAACTTCTACTAGTGCAATAGGAGAAGGTAGTAGAAACTGCTTGCAACTGGAGCTCAGGCTTGCATGCTGCTGAGTCATGCTGATGGATACTTGTCAAGCCAGTATGTTAGTGCTGGCTTCCTACTAATTGTTTAATGCCCGCCAAGAGAAGATGTTAAAAAATTCTAAGTACAGTAAAAGTGGTGTTTAAAAAAAAAAAAAAAAAAAAAAAAAGAGAGAGAGAAAGAAGTGTCTGTGTCTCCAATACTAGCATCAGTTGAAAGGGAAGAAAATTGCCTAAGTAAGGTGCATACACAGCAGCAGACTTGTTCTGAGAGTATAGATGCTTCAGTGCAATCAAGAAAAACAGATTACAGTCAATGAGACAATCTTAGTATGTACTTATTTCTCCTCCTAAGGGGAGAGTGATACTGCAAAGGTGCGGGGAAGAGATGCGAAAGATTGGAATTGTAAGGAATGACTGCAAGAACTGCAAGCCCAGCATAAGCTGCAGAGCACTGACTGTGAAGTGTCATGTTTCAGGAGCTTTAGGAAGTCTCTCTCTGCTGGTAACCCAAAACATAGGCAAAGAACTGCTGGCTCACACCATCTCCATCCAAAATTCTTGGTTACTTTTAAGGACAACTCTTAATCACTCTACAGTGGATCTCAGCTGCTGTCTTGCAGAAGGAAAATGGAAATCCTAAAAATAGCCAGCAGCCACTTTCTTTACATGTACTTAATCAGTATGCCCTGGAAATTATCTAAGTGGCACTCCTTTTCCTTCATTCTCAGCTGCATTCTTTTGTACTACACTTTGTTGAGCAATGCGTTCAAGTTTCCTTCATTTTGGTCCAGCTGCTCTTGGAGGCAGCTTCTAGCAGAAGTAGCCAGAAAGTGCAGGCATTGATAAATAAAGGCTTGCTAGGATTCTGTGAAAATAGTATTCTTAAAAACTCTTCCTTGGTTGTAACCTATTCCAAACAAGTATTCTTGCCAAACTTTTAATCCCTGAAGCTTCCTGGATTGTAAACAGAAAAGGTATTTCTAAAGTTAAGTCCTTAGAAACCCATTCATTTTCACAATATTTACAGTGCTAACTATACTGAGATGTAATCCTGCTACTTTTTCTGAGCCTGGATTCCACTCATCTCTGTCTACAGAACTTGTACAGCCCCTTGCACCACACCTGCCCACTAAGGCCACCTCTGATGCACACCTTGCATCTTCCAGTTTACATCCAGATTTACCCATATACCAGCATGAATTTTTAAATCTCTTGCAGTATACCAAATAAATATCTACATGTTTATAATGAGAACATATGTATTTACCTTACTCCTAGTTCTTGGAATCTAATAAGCAAATGATGCATAAAATTTATTGTCAAAATGTATCTATCTGGTTTCCAATGTGTGTGCCTACTTTACACACAGAAAATTTACGCTAGATTACTAAAATACCACTGTTTCACTTTTCTTCTTGTTACTTTTTCAGGAAGATGTGTGCTCAAAGTAACATAAAGAAAGAAACATGAAAATCAGCAATAACATAGGGTTCTAATTTAGGCTTCAATTCTGCAAACACGTTTGGAAATTAAATATTGCTAAGCAAAACCTCAACTATTGGACTCCATTTTTTTTTATGCTGTACCTAATGCTGAACAAAACAGTGCACCTGCCAAAGAAATACACCTCTCACACCTGACAGCTCCAGATGTGACAATCCAAGATATCATCATAACAACATGGCTGAGTTAATTATCATACGTACATAAAATGCAGTAAAGTTGGTTAGCATTCATATCAAACACTTTTGTTACTTGTACCTTTAAGGATTACCTATTTTTTGTCGTTGTTTGTTTAAACCTTCTCAGAAGTACGGTTCCACTCCTGAGCGCCAAGCCTAGCAGGGAGAGAACAACTGGGATTGGTATGAAATGCCAAAACAAGCCTAGCGCCAAAATAGAAAACTAAACAAAAAGCAAGAAAGCATAACAGTTAATATATTTTAGATTTTAAACTTTTTCCAGTTATCTTTTTCTGCTTCATAAAGAAAATCGAGAGCAAAGAAGAAAGGGAGCATTTCTTTTCATTCTCTGGAAACACTAGGGAAGAGATAGGGGACAGAAAAGAAAGAAAGAAATGGTTGGGGCAAGGGATAAGGCTTTGTGCAAGAACGTGAAGAAGGCAGGCTGGTGCCCTCACCAGTCTTTTATAAAGCAGGGCATCCTCTTACTGGCCAAAGCAATTTCTATAGAATAATAACCTGACTGCATCTCCTGCCTCCTGACCCAGATGAAAAGAGAGCAGCTCTAAACAAAAAGTGCAGGAGGAGGGAGGATGGGGGAGGAGGAGGATCGCTCCCTCCATCACAGCACCTGGCTCACAGAAGCGCTTCTCTTCCTCCATTAATTTATCTCACACAGATGTCTCTTTATCTCACTGCTGAAGCAGCAGTTAAGTTTGGGGGTTGCTGAGATGAGGGTGCGGGCTTTGCAGGCCAGGCCTGTGACATTCATCTCTGGCCATGCCTCAGCCCAAGCCAAGCTGCCCCCTGCTCCGAGGCCTGCTCTCCTGGCTGCTGCGTTAGCCAAGAAGACAGTGAGAGAAAAAGGGAGAAGCAGGCAATGTAAGGAAACTCACAGCAGCAGCCTGCTACGGAGTATTTCTGGGCTGGTGAAGGAAAACGGGGAGAGCTGCCACCTGGAGCTACTCCAGGGCCATTCTCCAGCGCCTTGGGGTCCATCCCCGTGTACTGACATGCTGAGCTGGATGCACTGACTGCTCCTCAACACGTGTTCCCTTTCCACCTCCACCGGTCACTTTCTTATGGGAAGCGAAAGCCCGTGCCGCGACACAGGGCAGAGGCCGGGAAACAAAGGCAAATAACGGATGGGACAGCTGGTCCCCGTCCTTCCTCCCCAGCTGCACGCGAAGCGCTCTCTTGCAGGAGATGCAGGAACACCACTGACACGGCTGAGTGGTACAGCGACCGCCACGCTGGAACCGCCCCGGGAAGGAGCGGAGCCGGGGAACCCCCTATGCACCCCGAGCAGCACGAACACCTCCTGCACAGCTCGGGCTGCGGGTACATAGGCACGGCGCACCGCCTCAACCAGAGCGGCAGGAGGGGCGGCACGGCGCACAGCTCGCCACCAGGGCAGGGCATCCCCCCACCCGGCGGCTACAGCTGGCGGCGCGGCCGGAGGGCAACAGGCGGACGGTAACTTCACGCAGCGGCGGAGAGCAACTTGCGCCGCCGCGCAGGACGCACCCGCCTCCGCACCTCGCCCGCGCAGCAGGCTGCGTGCCCGCGCCTAGCTGTGTGTGCGCGACTGCGTGCGCGAGCGGCACCTGCCGAGACCGGCGGCCGCCCCGGCGAGTGTGCGGAGCGGGGGCGGCCGCAGGGCGCGGGGCTGAGTCCGGGCTGGGTCCGCGCCCGGCGCCGCCGCCGCTGCGCCCTCCCGGCTGCCAGTCCGCCCGGCTCCGGATCACGTGGCGGTTGCCGGAGGCAGAGACTAGAGAGGAGAGAAAAAAAAAAGCGCCTCATTCCTTCTTCCACCGCCATACTGTATTTTATAGTAACTCTCATTTTTATTCCTCCCTTTTACTCCCGCTCGGTGAGTACCTTTCCGCTGACATTCTTGTCCTCTTTTTTTTTTTTTTTTTTTTTTTTTTTCCGTCCTGTTTTTTTTTTTTTTTTTTTTTTTTTTCTTCCTTTTGGTTTTTTGTTTTTTGTTTTTTGTGTTTTTTTTTTTTTGTTTTTGTTTTTCCGGTTTTTTTTTTTTTTTTGCTTTTTTTTTTTTTTCTTCCTCTGATTATTGTTTAAATGGATTTGATCTTTTGCTGATGACAGGTTTTTTTCTTAGCATGTGATGGTTCCTAAACTGTGAGCAAAAGGTGCTGCTGGGGCCGGGAGTCACTGGGATTGAGAAATGATGATAATAATAATAGAGACTTGCCAGTCCAGCAACAACTGCGATACGTTGAGTAGCTATATATCTGTATATGCAACTGGTTTTGTTGTGCACAGAAAACGATGTGAAATACGATGCTGTTTTTTAAATATAAGAGAAAAGGCATGTTTCTAACTCTTTTTTTTTTCTTTCTTTTTTTTTTTCTTTTTTTTTTTTTTTTTTCTTCAAAGGATTTTCTCTGGTGTTTTTATTTTTGGGTGTTTTTTCAGGGTATTTTTTTTTTTTTTCCTTGTAGAGATGGGATTTGCAAATGCATTTTACAGCAGTGTTTACAAAGAGTTTGTAGTCTTGCAGTACTGGTGGAAGCCACAGAGCAAGATGTTAATTTTATTATTTTTTGTTATTGTTTCTTTTTTTGACACTCAGTGCAATAAGCAGGGCTTATTTTTTTTCTTCTTTTTCAGTTTTTGATGCCTGTTTATAATGTGAAACTTTTCTTGCAGCATGTTACAGTTACCATTTTTTAATACTTTTTTTCCTCCTTAAAGATAACAGAACAAAATATGCAGCCAAAGAAACGATCCTTACTTTTGCACATTTTCCACCTTGACTTTTTTATTCTTTTGCCGGCAGTATTTTATGGTGGTTATTATTATCATGATGGTGATAGCTGTGTGCATATATACAAATAAATACATTTTCAAATGATGGCAGTGGAAGGTTTTCCTGGAGAATGAAGTGCGGTTCGGTTTCCTTGTCAACGGAAGATGAAGTGAACAACTGAACATCTCCCCAGTGCAGGTACTTCATCTCCTTGTAGGCGTTTCCACGCTGTGTAAATTACATTGTGAGATTTGAATATATATCTATTTTAAAGAAATCTCTTTCCACCCTTAGCTGAAGGTCTCACTGCAGTGCACATGGGGACTGAAGTACGTCTCTCTGCCTCCTGATTGCTCGGATGTGTGCGAAGCATTGTACTAATTGAGGCTGGGTCTGTGAGGCTGAAGAGAGGTGTTTGTGTGCTGTGTGCTGTCAGAGGGGAAGGCAGTGAGGGGAAAAATGCAGACCCCCACCACCACCTCCTGTCTAGAAGAAATTCCCAAATTGAAATTTCAGGGTGAAATCTTGAGGTTCTTGTTCTGAGTATGAATACTCACAGGACTTCAGACAAGAGCAAAAACCCCAGCCCTGTGTTGTAGTGACTCGTGTATTTGTGTGTGTCTGTTTAAAAATTATCCATTAGAAAATAGCTGTGAGAGAAACAGCAAAGGAGGCTCCCTGGGTGAGCTGGCTCCTTGCCACACGAGACATATTTCATAGCCCTGAGGGCAGCAAAACCCTTCTATCCAACTTCTGCTCCTCATATTACAAAGGCGTAAACAAGGCAGCAGGTTGCCTCTTATGAATTTAATTCATTGGGATGGAGATTAATCAGAAACGGATATTTGCTCGAAGGTGTTTCGTTTTGTTTTGATGATTATTAATGCCACTGGCTGGCAGAGAATGGGAAACTTACTTTCCGTGACGGTCACTGGGAGTTCAGGACTGGAGAAGAAACTGTTACTTTTCATGGGTAGTGCTTAAATGCTTAACAGAGGCTGCCCCTGACGCAGAGACAGGATATTGGTTCTTTAAAATAGGGTTTGGAAGGATTTTTCCAGATGACAGGCTTGTTGGTGGTTTTGATTTTTTTTCTGGACGGAGATACAGTGCAATATTATGCTTAAGTAGAAGTGCTGAATGCTTGGATCTGCAGTGTTCTCTATAGTTTATGTTTACTTGTGGAATTTCTTAATGTATTTTAAGCAGCCTTCACAGATTTGTAACTGATCATAAACTTAAGCTGTGTATTAGATGTGGAAACCAAAGTGAGTTACAGAGAATATATTTGTTTTCTTACAAGCAAAGCTTTATGGCCAGTTTCTAATTCGTTTGGAAGTTCGAGGCTTCTAACACTCAGTGTACATTGTAACTTAACAGCCGCCTTTGAAGTAGAAAGTGTATTAGAAGTCTTCAGCATTCTTCTGTGAAATTAGTCATGTTGAAAAATAAATCAGTTACTGTTGTTTTTATTAATTTACTCTGTAGTAAAACAGCTTTGTGTATTCAAGGTGGATTTTTCCAGCTTAAGTGTGGTAAAAATGTTTAGTGCATATTTGTGCATGGTTTCTGCATTGACATGATGGAATACTTTTGACACTATATTGGGGTCAATAATCCATTGTGTCCAAAAAAGCACTGACTAGATATTTCCATGATGGATTATGATGACTTTTCAGAAATAGTTACAATCTGTTGTGTCAATACACTACACTGTAAGAAGATTCAGCCTGCTTATTTTCTCATGATTTAATTTGAAAGAAAGCCTTTAAAATACCGTACTGATTGAAAATCTATCTTCCACCCCTCTTTCCATTTCCCTCCCCCCTTATTTTTAAATTGAAGTTTTTCTTTAAATTATGTGAACTTAGTTAGAAAAGCATTTTTGATATTGCTATAGCACTGAAATATAGTAACTAGGCTGCAGTTTCCAGAATAATGTTCCTTTTGTCCTTTCTTTCAATACTGCAGGTGTGTTGAGTGGGTAATTTTGTAGATGTAGTTGCTGACTGCAGATCCAGTCCTGCTCACCTAAGTCTTAAAGTCTGAGATAAAAAGTTGAGAAATCACTATTTTCAGCACCCAGATTTTGCCTGCAAAGCACCTGTTGTCTGAGTAGCTCAGTAATCTAATACTCATACATACATTTCATTTGCAGAAATTTGAGGTTGTGTGATTTTACAAAAGAGATAAAGGAGCTAATTTTGAAAGAGGATACCTCTACTTCCTGCATTATGTGGGCACAGTAGGATTTGGGTTGGTGGAATCGGTTCCAGCTTGATGTTTCCATAGCTATGCTATGACTAACACGGCTGAAAGCAGTGTTAGTGTAAGAGACAAGTGTTATTTTTGGAAGGAAGAATGAAAATTTTATCTAATGAATTACAGTGTTGTTTCTAGAAGTGATGATGTAACTGCGTCTTACATTGAGTGTGAGAAGCACTTACTGCCCAAACTCCTGACGTGTTATGTGTGTCCAGACTTGCATGGCATCTTCTATTTTTTGTTTACATCCCATTTGATATGTGTGAATTTAGGAATTTTAGATGTATGTAAACAGGAAGATTTGGAAAGCAATTTTTCATCTGTAACTAGCTACCATAAGCAGTACTTAGTAGCAGATAAAAAATGCATGACAGGTGAACAGGAGTTAATGACTGTGGTGACCAGAGCACTGACCCAAATGCAAGCTTTCATCCACTGTAGTGGCCTCAAATGGCAATGAAAGGATATCTTTTCACATTTTTCCACATAGAAGGTAGGACTAGAAAGGCCTGTGGGGTTTCCAGCTCTGTTCTGCAGTGGTGCTGAGCTGGACTTGCTCCAGTGCAGATTTAGCTGGGGCACCATTCCCACTTTGTCTTTTTGGGCCTGACTCTTCCAGCAGGTGAAAATCTGTTTGATGCCTGAAATTTATTCTCAGACAGTTTATACTCCTTTGTTTTTGTGCCACTGCTGTCCCCACACAGTAAAATTCCTCCTCTACATCTCTGCTTCCTCCCGGTTGTCTTTCCTGTGCACTTCCAGAGAGCAATCCCAGCCCCTTTTCACTTGAGTTTGCTGGGCTAACTGGTCGGAGGTTCCCATTTGCATTGGTCACAGACATCCAAGCTATCTCTCAGCAAAGTTGGGCTACAGCACAAGCAGGGCAGCTGTGTTCGCACATGTTTTTGCCCTCCATGTACAGCTTCCAGCCCCCATTTAGGCCTGATGTGCTCACCTGGAGCTGGACCATGGCTGTGCCTTCTGCTGTTGAGGCAGGCATTGTGCCACACTGACCTGCCCTTAGCACTGCCACACCATGCTGCATTTCTCTGCAAAGGACTCTCAAGGATTTCTCCTTCAGCACAGTTCTTTCAACTCCCAAGAATCTTTCCTTTACTGTTTCAGTGTTTTACATTCGTACCAACTAGCAGGAGCAGAATGGACTCGAGCCAGTGTTGTATCAGAGGCTGTCTTCTAGTAGGAATATATGTGAAAGTTTGCCATAGTGCTGTTTTAAATAGCTTTTCCTAATTAGTTTCTTCCCAGATTGCTGTTATCTTAGCTCTGTTGTCTCCAAAAGCATTATTCTAAAAGCAGTTTCTTTCTCTTCCACAACGTTGTTCTGTTTTCCCCCTATTTGTCTTAAAAACAACAACATAACAGTGTTTAAAGGATAGGTCTGTCCCCATGGGGATACTTTTGAATTCCCTTGATCTTCTCAGAGGATGCAGTGCTCTGTCAAAATCTGGATCTGCATCCTTTAAGAACTTATGGAATTTCTGAACAGAAGGCAAAAGATGACAATTTCCAGATGAAAAATTATGTAATCTGTAGCACTGTCAACATAGTCATCCAGAGAATTGGATTTAAACCAGTTTGTAGCTTCTTTAAACTCAGATCCTGACTGACAGAAAAAAAAAAACCAAAATTCTATTTTTAAATGATGTGAAGATTACAGTGTAACATCTTCACCTCTGTTAAGGCACTAATTATTTTATGACCTTTGAACAATTACCAGGGTAACATGACTTGAAGATTATTGTTTCACGTGTACATACATTAGTAGAGTTTAAACCATTTTTTCTCATCTTTTCTTTTGTTGTATTCCACAATGA